TGGTTTTTGTGCACTCGTCGTCCGGGTCTGGGTCCGGGTCTGTAGATCGAGACGCCGGACGTAATGCGCCAAATCTAGCTGGTTTGCCAGTTGATCTGTCTGCCGGCGATCGTGTATCTCAGCCGCCCAACACCCTAGCACCGGTTCGTCGCGCAGCTTGTAGTGGGCCGCTGCTACAACAAGACACCAACCACCACCGATGAAATTGAAAGAGGAAAAAGGAAAAAAAAAATAGAAAAAAGAAAGGAAAAATGGTTACATGCGGCTGGGACACAGGGAAAAGAAAAATGGAAGGGAGAAGATGTAGGGAAGGGTTCTTCTGTAGAAGAGAGAGAAAGAGAAAAAAAAAGAAAAAAAACACAAAAGAAGAAAAAAGAGAAAAGAATGATGATGGGCCGAAGAAAGAGAAAAGAGAAAGAAAGGAAAAAATGGAAGAGGGAAAATAAAGTAGGTTATAGAAGCCCATGTTATTTACACATGCTTTGCTTTGAAACAACCCGCAAACSAGACCAAGATACCATGATTCAATACTTGTCGTGGTTTATATGCGTGAGTTTTTCTTTACATTTTATAATCTCCTTACTTTCAATTTTTTCTTTTAGAATTGTCGATTTGCCCAAGACGTTTGAAGAGAAATAATTCTCTTAGCATTCGAGAATATGCACAAATGCCACAAATTGTGGGGGAGGCTACCGGAAAAATTGAAAGATGGAAAAAGTGAAGCTGAACAGCTGAATTTCGTGTTCTATTATTGAGACTTGTGCAATGATCTAATTATAATATCATTTTCTCATGCATAAATTATTTGGCATAAATATGTTGATTATTTATGTCAAAATTAAATTGGAAATATTTGGATTGTTATTATTCTCACTACATAATTAAGTTTTATATAGGCTGCTTTTTCCTATATTATGAGCGTAAAATTTTTAAACCTTTTAATTTTCTGACGAGGTTTTTAACAATTTTCAACTCATATCATTGTCATAAATTGAGCATGATATTTATTGACAATTTTATGTATGAGCTAAGACAAGTTTCTCTGTTTTCTTCTTTATAAATTTTTCAATTATTTATGATAATTGAAATAAGTGCTACAGTTGTTTTGAGATGCAGCTTAAAGGTATGAAGACAAAAAATGAGGTAATGAAATATCTCAGTTTAAGTTTATCTTAAATATGGGTGATTTGAGATCTTGCTTGAATGTAGTTGAATATATAGTCTTATTTTGATTGAATATATAAAATTATTAATTATGAATACTTTTATTGTGAGTATGTCTATGATCTCAATAGGAATAAAATGTACAATTATATGGTGTATAATTGTCGCTTTGATTTCCTTTTGAATGTTTTGTGAGTCATTCGTGAAGGTGAAATTTGTGAATTTATTGGTTAATTACATCTAATGTCAATTAACGATGAGATGTTGCTATTTAAATTATTTAGCAAACTGTGGAAAATTATCTTGTTGGTGAGGTTTATTGACATGATTATATGAATTTAAATTAGTTATTGGTAGAATAATTAATTTAAGATATTATGATTATAATCATGTGAAATTAAATTCTGTTAACCACCTTCTTGGTTGAAAACAAGTGGAAATTGATAAGGCTTACCTAAGTAATGAAGCAAATCCATAGCCCTATACTTTTGGGTGGTCCTAGCTAGGATTTGATGGATGATTTGTTGAAGCTTTAAATTCATAGCCCTATATTTGGGTGGTATTAGCACTCGATCCCACCAAAACGAAGCAAAAATTTTAGAGATGTCTTTGCAAAAACTTTTGGGAAGTCTAAAGACACTCGTTGTATAGGTTGGAATGACTTGATCCACACTTTTAATCGGGATTTCTTTCTCTCCCACTAATAAGAATTGTCTTTTCCACCTTTGCATGACCCGCCAGATTCTATCCTTCACCTTCCAAAAAGTTTATTTTTTCCTCGAGAAAACAGAGAGGAGGCCTAAGTAAAAACCCAGGTTGTCAACAAAACGGACCCCAAGAATAGACTGCAAATATAACTTTTTGTCAACATTTATATTCGGGAAGAAACACATAACCGATTTGTCAAAATTTACACTTTGACCTTATGCATTTTCATAATTATTCAAGAGTTTCTTCATCATAAAGCATTCAATTGTATCTGCTCGTAAAAAATGAGACTGTTATTAGAGGGAAAAAAGGGCGAGAAAACAAAATAATTTAGTATTTGATACATATTAATTTTTTTTAAAAACAAAACTAATTTTAATAAGTAGGATAAAAAATGGAAATATCACATGCAAGACATGTATCAAAAGACTAGTTAGAAGTTCGGATTAATATCATAAAAATTCTTCAAATTTTGTATTTTTCAATATTAATTTAGGAAAACGAAACTTTGAAATTATTTTAAGTATAAATTAATTAACATGGCTCCTCACATTTCATTAACAATTAATAGTGTTAATGATGAAAAAAGAGGTGTGTGAATTTAGATGGGTGGGAAAAGAAAGTAAAAGAATGAGAGAGAGATAGAGAGTTAGTTGGAAAATGATGTGAATGGGTGAGGTGAAAGAAAGTGAATAATTGAAGATTGATTAATGGGAGAGAAAATGAATAAGACTGTGAGATTTGAGGGAAGTAGAGAGAGAGTGAGAGGGTGAAATTTGAGGGGAAAAGGGAGACAATTTTGTACTTCAAAAACAAAATTGTCATGAAAAAAAGTAAAAATTTACCTAAAAAATTTCTTTTTATTGTTCATTAAATTATACACTAATACTTAGTTAATCTTTAATCTTTAATCTATAATTTTGACCTGTATTGCACGTAGTTTATTAAATAGTTATTTAATATAATCATTAATTTTCTTCATAGTTGAAAAGCTTTTTTTTCTTTCTAATAAAAATGTATATAGTCAAAATTTATATGAAATTAAAGGTAAAACATATTATACAGCTAAAAAAATATGTTGATATTATAGGATAAAGTTTTTTATCCATCCATAAAAAAAAAAAATACATTTCTCAAAATTTTTTACTATCATTTGATCATGAGGTAGTGATTATTTAAGGATAATTAGATAACTCGATTTTTTATTTTATTTTAGAGATTTTTGCGATCTCTGCTTAAAAAAGATGTAAGATAGTTTTTGAAGAAAAATGCTAATTATTTTATTTAATGAATTTGTTTATTATTTTTATAAAAAAAATATATTAGGTTATATTTTAAAATTTTAACATATATTTCACAATATTTTGTCAATGAAGTAAGATACTAAATAACTTTTTTTCTTCACAGATTCTAAAATCCTAAATTTTAAATTTTTTTGGCAAATTTTTAGTTTTTGAATAGATTTGTCTCTTATTTTTAATTGTTTTTTTTTAGAATTTGCTACTTATTATTATTTTCTATAATACTTCAAACATTTTAACAATATTTTATTTATTATATATTCAATACAGGTAAGACATTAAGCAAATTTGGAAAAAAGCTAATGATAATTGTATCATTACAAATTTTAGGAAAAGTAAATTATTATGCACATTATACAAAGTTTTAGTATGACGATATATTTATAATAAAAGAACACATCATTGGACACATTTTGTTCTAAGAAAATATTTGAAGTTAATCTATTAAAATTAAAATTTAGAAATATAATAGGATTAGTAAAAAAAAAAGAGGGTTCAATATAAATTAGCAAATAATTAAATATGAAACATTTTGTTTGAATAGTCAATGTAAAGGATTTCAGAAAATAAATTAAAGTATTCAAATGATTGAGTACCTACCGTTTTATATAATTTTGGGTTATTGTTCATTCTCCTTCGTGAAGTTGGCATAATCTTCAGTATTTGTTGATTTTTCTTCAAGAAGATGATAGAGTCTCGAGTTTTGGTGATGTTCACCTTTTTGAATAAACGAAAAGGTCTTTTACGAATTGATAGGATCTAAAAAATTGATTTCATAACTTTTGAATATGAGAATAAAAAAACTTATCTTTGAAGACCAATGCGCATCAGATTAAATTAAACCGTACCATCCTTAACCATTTAAAATAAGACAGTAGATGCTTAAGTCCATATAAATGATTGATAAAAAAACAAATAAATAAACCTCCAATCACATAAATATGACGTTGACGTCGTCTTCATCTGTCGCTGAAGGAGGTCCTCGATTTCCACAACTCTCGTTACTTTCATCTTCCTTTATCATTATCAATCACTTGTACCAGAGTTTCTGTCTAGCCAAGCAATGCTCCTTCTTGAAGGAAGGTTTACATATGGTATCTCGAACATGAGTTTTGGGCAACGGAAAAACATACAATCACACCTATACGTAGATGTATGTATCGTTTTATTGAACAGTCGTAACTCACTTGGGTTAATTTTATTTTAACAGACACCTTGACTGAACAGTTGCATCCCGAAGTTTGAAGGGTAAAATAGATATATATTAAAAAGTTAAAAGGCCAAAAATGGAAGCTCTATTTAAAAAAATTGGAATCTATATTGATGGAAATGTTTAGGAACAAAGGCTCTGTTGGCTGGAGAATTGGTCGGTGGACCATTGCCCATTGCGTAGAACCATCGGTCGTCACCTGCAGATTTTGTGACCGACGAAGATATATATAGCAAGGAGAGAAGGGAGGAGACAGAGAGGATGGAAACTAAAAATTGGTTTTCTTATTTCCCTTAAAAAGGAAGTGCAGTTGGTGTCTTTTGACATTCTTGCTCGATTTTCCGAGAACTTTGTATTTCATGGATAAAATTTCCATGTAAAAAAAAAAAAAAGTAAAATTGACAGGAAAAGTTTTCCATTTTATATATACTATATATATAATATATATATATAGATTTTTCAAATATATATATATCCGAATCTATATTGGTGGAAATGTGCAATTGTTTGATTAAACACGTGTCAGTCATCGGAGGAAGGAGGAGTACGTGTCTGGGCCAATAGAAACGGAGCAATTTGCCATCTAACAACTTAATTTGACCTTCTTGTTGTGTAATAAGTTTTGTTTTGATTGATTGAGCAATCTAGATTTCCCTCTCCCCTCGTTTCTCCTCCCGAACTTGAAAGAACGCAAACCCGAATCTCTCTCTCCTCTTACTCACTATTACAATTCAAACCTTCCTTCAATTTTCTTCAGCATGATTCGATTCTTCGCCGCTTTTCAGCTTCTCATGCTCCTCGGATTTCTGTCATCTGAATCGGAATCACTTCGATTCGAGTTGCCCTCCGGCCACACCAAGTGCATCTCCGAGGACCTCAAGGCCAACGCCATGACCGTCGGAAAATATCACGTCGTCAATCCTAACGAAGGCCAGCCCATGCCTGACGGCCACAGGATCACCGTTCGGGTATTTTGGGAAAGATCTCTTCGTTTTCTCTGCCTTTTTGCTCGATTGGGTGAATTTAGGTTTTTGAAATCTGTAGGTGACTTCTCCTGCGGGGAATACCTTCCACTACGCAGACAACGTCGAATCAGGCCACTTCGGGTTCGTTGTTACGGAGACCGGTGATCTCATGACCTGCTTTTGGGCTGCCGATCACCAGCCTACTCTCACATTGACGGTTGATTTCGATTGGAGAGCCGGCGTGGCTGCCAAGGACTGGTCCAATGTTGCTAAGAAAGGCTCTGTTGAGGTATGTTTTTGCTTTTGATTGTTTCACAGGATTTTTGATTGGCGTGTTGTTTATCCGCAGCTGGCTGTTACCATCCTATTTTATTTATTTTGTTAGGTTTTTAGATTTCAGAATTTTTTTAGAGTTACTCTGTTAGTGGTTCAATGATTTTCTATAAGAGTGGTTGGTGCTCTCATTGGTTTTGGTTGTTTCTAGTGCTCTTGTGTTTAAAGATTAGAAGGAAGAGAAATGATTGGCAGAACTTTTTCGTGAAACTCTATGTGACTTAACTTAGGAGACTGTTTTGGGTTTGTAAGGAGAATGCAAACAACGTCCTACATTGGCTAGAGAAGGGAATGATCATGGATAATATATAAGAGAGGAAAATTATCTCCACGGATACGAGACCTTTTAGGCGAAACCAAAAGTAAAGCCGTGAGGGCTATGTCCAAAGCAGACAATATCATAGCATTGTAGAGATACTTGGGATACTATTGTCCTTAAGAGACTGGAATCCCATCAAATGCGTCTATCGATTCTTAGTAATTTCTTTTCTTTTATTTTTATTTGAAATTGGGTTAGTAACATAGGCATTCTCTTTGAAGCTTTGTTTCAAATAGATCTATTGTAGTCAACCATGATCTTCATGATTTGAGGAATTCACAATTCTTTGGTTGCATTACTTGTATCTCCCTGCCCATAGGCACTCCTTCTAATTGAACAACCGTGAGTTCCTTTCAAGCCGCAAACTACAAGCAACTGTTAACTGCGTTCAACCATAGGCTTTTGTTTCTTAATGTGCACCAAGTAAGAAGTCGAATCATGTTTTCTTTTGTGGAATTAGTAAATATTCAGGAACAGCTGAAGCACTGAAGTGGGGAATTCAGCAATTTAAACTGTAGAAGAAAATAGAAAGCAAACAGCCCTGTGTAGAGCTGCTTTATTTCATGTAAATTTGTAATACACTTTTAATCAAGTTTTTAGGCATCATTTTTGAATTTTCTCAGCAGTATTAGTCCCTAATGACACGCAGTCTAGGAAAATTATTTTTCTTTTGCTCCCCTCCGAACAGAAGTGGAAATTTCTTATCTTGGAAAAACTTTCTTTTTCAGTTAACTAGAAAAAGAGGGATTCAATAAAGTCCAAGGATCAGTTCTCCCAAAGTATTCTTTCTACAATCCTCTCTAGTGAGGTGTGTTCCATTTAAAAGTTCAAGCAGGCGTGGATTTCAAATTCCCTCTCTATTAAGTTCCCTGTCTCATCCCGAGCTTCTTCCAATTTGATGTCTAAGGAACCAGAGATAGCATAAAAAGCACAGATTCCTTCATTAGAGATTGGGAACCTGTCTGCCTAGGAATCTATCTTTGCAATACAATGTCCTATAGCTTCATTTCCTACCCTTAGGATTGTTCACGACTGCAAAAGAGGCTTGGGCTTAGCAACATTCGTCTAGGGATCATGGTCACTTCTTTCATTCATACAAATCCGAAGCTCTCCTTCTCATGGATGCCTGTGATTATATCACTCAGAAGCTTCCTTCTTCGCTCACGCCCCTTGATACTACAAGGTCATTTTGCCAACAAAATCTAGTTTTGGATGCCTTATCTTCATTCCAGTGAAAGAGAAAAGATCTTTCAATTAATGGGACGACCTGAACTTTTTCTTTCCATATCGCCACCTAAGGTTTGCACTTTTCTCTCTACATTTACAGGCCAGCCACTTATCTTAGTAGTTTGAAAGAAGTCATAAAATTAGGTAGGTAAATCAGAAAAAACTGTAGTGGAGAAAATCAGACTACCTCCTGAACAAAAGTCCACCCTTCCCAAACCGAGCATAGCTCAAATGGTTAAGGCACCTATCTCTGACCAAAAGATCATGAGTTCGAACCCCCACCCTCACATGTTGTACTAAAAAAAAAAACAAAAGTCCACCCTTGCCAATTTTTCGCAGTGTTCATTCTTCTGCTGGTATCAACGATCTCATTTTTCAGATTCTCTCTTGACAAATACTTTCTCTGAACCAATTTCACATTCTACGATACAAGGAACCCAAGCAGTAGCACCATTAATTTTGAGACAAAAGTCCTACATTATTTAGAAGTAAGATGGGCGAGCTATATCTCTATTCATATGACATAAATTGAGTAGAGTCCAAAAGAAAATCAACATGGATAAGTCCAGAGTGAATGATACCATACCAATCTAGAGATATGGGTAATCATTGTCCTAAAATGTACCATCAAAGTTGTGCTTTAGACAAGCCTAGTAGAATTGAATCTTTTGATTCCCAACGAAATCAGTGAACTATAGGCATCTGAAAATATGAACTATTGTTGAATTTTATTGGACATGCATTGTATTTCAGATAAAAGTTGGGCAATAAGAGTAAACTTTGAATTTCGTCGAGGTGGACAACTGGATGGTTGTTTGAGGGGGAGACTCTTTTCTTGAGGATAGGCTTATTAAAGCTAGCACCAAAGTCCCATGTTGGTTAGATGTGAGTAGACATTGAGTTTATAAATAAAGACACTATCTTACGAATATGGAGATACGAAGAAAAGTAATCATTATTTACTAAGGGCATTATTTTGAATCGTAAGGGTATGTCTGGGATTGATTTTGACATGGCTAAAATCACGTTTGCCATTGTCAAAATCACTTCCCTTTCTATTAATCATGTTTGGCAAATTAAAAATTTCATTTTAGGAAAGCTTAAAATCATTTTATATTGATCAATGGAAATGAAAGTGATTTTATCCAAAATCACTCCGAGATACACCCTAAGAAAAATAGGCGCTATTGCTTCTTCGTGGCATAAAATTTGACTTGTCTAGGAAATTTCCTTCCCATCCTGCTCCCAGTTTACTTTACTGTCAACTTTTTAATTGGTTCATCCACATACCAATTCTATGAATTTATTATTCCAGAGAGGTACTCTGCTATATCAATATTAGAACACTGCTCATTATAATTCTCTTACAATGCCAGGTTATGGAATTGGAGCTGAAGAAGTTGTTTGAAACTGCCAATTCTATTCAAGAAGAGATGTATTATCTCCGTGCAAGGTAAAACAGAATTATTAAAATTTTAAACATAAGTAAATATATTAAAATTTTAACTTTTGTAATTGAACTATTATTTATACTGTGTTTTAATTAAAATGACTGGCTTTTAAGAATATTCAATATTTTTAATATAGGTTACATTATAATTTTGGTCTTTAAATTTTCAAGGTTTAGTTAGTCTCTATAGTTTAAAAAGATATTGATAAATCTCTTAACTCTTAATTTTGTATCTACATTCCTGTGGTTAACGTTGTTGGTTTAAGTTTACACTATCAAATGTTTGAACTTATAATATGGTCAGCAAGTTACGTAATTATTAAACTCGCAAAGTTAACATTAGAGACATGAGAAACAGAATTTTAATTAGCAAGTTGGGGAAGGGATTGGGGTTTGGTTGGGGCGGGCAGGGGATCATTCCCTATCCTCATCCCAAAAAGCAAATTGACGGAAAAGTTCTCTGGTTCTTCTTAGTTATAAGATTTAATATTTCTTGGCGGGCCTCGTTTTACTAAGGAATTATGTAATTATCAGTTAGGTGTTCTTCTTCTAGATTGAAGCTTCCTTGTTTTATATTGAGAATTTCCCTTCTCATCCCAACCCTATGGATAGTTTTGCCCTCCTTACACATGGTACTGTGATGGCAGGGAGGAAGAGATGCAAGATCTAAACAAAAGTACAAACACAAAGATGGCATGGTTGAGTTTGCTTTCGCTTTTTGTTTGCTTATCGGTGGCGGGATTGCAAATATGGCATCTGAAGACCTTTTTCGAGAAAAAGAAGCTCATTTAATTTGTTATATTCAAACTCAGTCTCGTGTTTGATTGTAAACTATCATCACAAAATTAGCCTTCTTCAATGTAGATTAGTTTTTGGTTTCCTTTGTGAGCTTTCTATCTCTCGGGATAAGAACAGTAGTCTTTGAATCAACTTACCGCCACTCTTTTGGAGTCTGAAATTTTACAAATTTTAGTTCCTTTTCTTGAGCAAGTTCCTTTTCCAACCTACCAATATGTATGAATTCTTTAAAGCAGATCAACAGTAATAGAAATAGCAGAAACGACATTTCTAATTATTGAATGAAGGTTAAAAGACCTGTTATGCCGACTTTCAACTTTCTTCTTAGAGAAATTGCCCCCCTCTCTCTAAAGAAATTGACACTCTCGTAAACTAAATTTTCTTACGATTATTGTTTGTCCAAATCGAACTATTATCTTCTTGTTAAAGGCTCAGGAATTTCTTTCATTACTTTACTTGTCTATGTTAGACAATATTATTATAATTGGTGCTAATTATTCTGACATTCATGAGCTTAAGGTTCCTCCTCAATAACCAGTTGAAGCTTAAGGACTTGGGATCCTTGAAATATTTTCTTGGCTTGGAGATTATGCTGATACTTCTAGAGGTATTTGCCTTTCTGAACAACATTATGCACTTACTTTACTTGAAGAAGCTCGTCTTCTTGGATGCAAACTTGTTGATCTTCTCATGGATATCCCTCTCTCAAGTTGGATTCTTTTAGCAGTGAAGTTTTAGAATACCCATCTGAATATCGACCCCTTATTGGGAGTTTACTTTATTTAACACTTTTGTCTTGCACAAACTGAGTCAAATTTTTTTCCCTCATGTGTGTAATCTCACCGCTCTGCTGCATTTCATTTGTTAAAAATATTTAAAGAAGTCTCCTGGTCGTGGTATTTTTCAAGTGGCATTTGATTCTTTTCAATTGTGTTCTTTTGCTGATGAAGATTAGGCATCTTGCTCGGACATTTTAGGGTTTAACAACTAGTTTTTATGTCTTCTTGGGAGCTTATCTGGTATCTTGGTGCAAAGCTGGACTGCATCCGGCTGTGCCACCAGTCAATCGTTCATGTGTCTAGTTATGGCCGGATCAAAAGTCTGTTTTACTTGTGTAATTACATGTATATATTGTCAACTTTGAGCATAATCCTCGTAGAGGTTTCACTAAAAAAGCCTTATACAATGGAGTGTTGTCCCTCAATTATATACCCATAATCTTTCCTATATCTAGCCAATGTGGGACTTTCGTCGCATTTCCAACAATCTTCTTTTCGAACAAAGTACCATTGAGTCTCCCTCCGTCCAACCCCTCTTCTCCAGAGTAGTCTATCCGGTAGAGCTCAACCACGGATCAAACTATACTATCTTCCAAGGCTCCCCACTTCTTTCTTGTGCGCTTGAGAATTCGACGTGGCTAAATCAGAAGCATGACTTTGATACCACTTGTTAAAGACAATCGACCCTCCACACATTTCTACAATGGTATGACATTTTCTATTTTGGGCATAACCATCATGACTTTACTTTTGATTTCACCTAAAGCCTCATCATCCAGACAAGTGATATTATTGCAAGTGTTCATTGGTCTGCCCGTCCAAGTAAGGGGTTGACCATTATCCCATGGTTGAAGGCAAAAAGTTTGGTATTGTTAGATGTTGGAATGGATCCGGCTGCAAGACGCAGCAGAAGCACGCAATTAAAATTAATTTAGTAGATCCAAGGACATAATTTAATTAAAAAAGATTTTTGAAAAACAAATACTAGGATAGAATTCCTTACGTTTGATCTGGGGATCTTTTCCACTACTATCGGTCTATAGCAAACCGGTGTGTGGGTACCTTTTTGGGAGCAAGAAGGAAGAACACTTCTTCCTCTCTTGGTGGCTACTAGGGACGAGAGGGAGAACATTATCATTCCCTAGGGTTTAGGGCTGTTCTCTACAAGTTTTGGGCCAAATTTGGACTAATAACTTTCAAATAATTATGAATTAAAAACTAATTATTTATTTTTTTAATTATTTTCTTTAACTCCCATTAAATTATAATAAATCTAATTTATTAAATTAAATGTCAAATTAATCCAATTTAATTTTAAATTAAATAATCAACTTTATTTAATTTTCTCCCAATTTATTGTTTGCTACAGAGGTCAACGAACTAGCAATGGACCTTATGAACTTACAAGTTTGAGCTGTAAGGGTCAATAATTGATTAAATAAACCAATTGACTAATTTTTCCAATTAATCCAAGGTGACTCTGTTGCACTTTTATGCATTGTAGCTGAGTTACGTCCATGAATATAACCACAACCGCTCATCTGATGTTTTACAAAGCGATTCATAATCCAAGCTAAGTGAAATTACCATTTTGTCCCTAGTCCCACATCTGCCTCCTTACACTCCATTTGTCCAGAAGATGGGGTACCTTGTTATCTAAGTCTCAAACCAACACTTTGTAATCACTTATATACACACTGAGTAAGGAGAACTGCACACTTTTCACTTTCCATTATTGAGAGGTTGAGAATTCCATCTTGTGTAGGAATGTTCCTAGCTCCCCACTTGAATGTGTTCCCATAATGGAAGACTTATTAGGCGAATATTCACATCATCCTCACCCATGTGAATCAAAGAACATACTCATTCATAGAATACTCAGGATTAAGATCAAATGAGTCTATGATCATCCTAGTGATGTGTCTGCATTTTCTTTAGCAGTCTTATTAGAAAATGCTAGACACATCATAGTATGGTCTTACAAAATTCCATTAGATATGATACGTCCACTCACATCTCATCACATGAATGATACGGACAGAACCATCTGCAACAGTTACAAAGTGGAACGTATTAACAGTGTCTCTAGGATAAGGTCCCCAACCCTATCAATGTTTTGTAGACTATTTAAACTACTACTATTAAACTTGATAATCTACTATGTTTGTTACATTCCGAGTTTGAGAACACATCCAATAGTTGCTCAGAAATGATTAAGCACTGAATGTCAATTTCCTCGACAAGATTCATATCCAATTATTAAGCTAATCTTATTTGTATCTAATTAGTTTACCTAATATCATGAGCTTTGGGGCATGCATCCAAGGACTATCAATAATTTACTGAATAATCTATTTATGATCGAACTACAAACTTCGTGATCCACAGGCTAGTGAGAGGGTGGGGCCTCATTGTTCAAATCTCGAAATCAACACTAAAGAGAACTACTTCTAGATTTGTCTACTTTACTAGATGTGAAAAGGAGTGCGTTAATATTTGATATTAGTATTATTCTATTATTGTTAATTGTACTATCTATCGGTTAAAATAGGTACACAGCTCATACTATGTAAACAAATTAAGAAGTGAAACTCTTATACTTGTAATTCTAATTCTAAAGAGTACTCTTCTCAAACTCTAAATGGTACTGAGTTAGGAATCCCATTATAACTAAGAATTCTCGTGGTTCCAGAGAATCCAGTTGTAGGAAAACCAGGAACGGAGAGCTTTCCCCTCTTTTCCATTTGCCTCGATTGTTGGTTTTAAGAATAAGTGATTGTCCTTCTTTGACCCTTACTGCCCAACCAAAGAGCGGACAGCTAATACGTTCCACTTATTCAACAAGGTTCTATGGTCGGTCTGCAACCCCTGGATATTGAAGGCATCCTTGGGGTGATCTCATAGTTCCTACGGGAACTAAAACAAGATCTCTTTCTAGCCTTTGATTCTTGCGTTTTACCAAACCATCCTTCAATTCTTGATAAGAAAACTCAGGATCAATTCTAATTTGAGTATGTATGCGAGATTTTAGTTGGAAATATTTGATGGCAAAGGCAGATTTGAGTCTGTGGAGAAAGAAAATGAAACCTTTACTTGTCCAACAAAAGGTTACCAAAGCCCTATGATCCAAATGAATTACCTGATACAATGACTAAACAAGAAAAAGAAGAAATTTCTGAGATATCCTACACTACAATAATCATCTCTCTCTCTAATAATGTTTCGCGGAGAATCAATAGTATTGAGAATGTTGCTGAATTATGTGTAAATAATAAATTGGAAGAATTGTACATTACTAAATCGCTTACAAATAAAATCTACCTTAAAGGAGCAATTTTTTGGTTTTAAGATGGATTCATCTTAAATTATTGAAGAAAACCTTGATGACTTTAATACCATTTGCACGGATTTAGCAAATATTGGGGACAAGCTTTGCTGGAGAGGATCAAGCACTGTAATTCTCATGAATTTGTTGACTGAAGCCTTTAAAAACTAAAATGAGCTGATGGCTCCATAAAACTTTTGTCTTCTGTCAAATTTTTGTATCTAATTTGAAAATGAATTTAGTTTAATTTCCTTAGGCAGGTGGGAATCATCTTAAAACTGCAAGCATTAACTGTTAAAACTATCACTATAAAAGCTTTTGTGACAGTTATAAAATTATTGCATTTTTCATTATGTTTATATAAACGGTATCGTTAAAAAATATTTGGTGATAATTGTTTTATGATGGTTATTATGATGTGCTTTCTTGTATTGAGAGGCAAATCTTCTTTTGTTTGTTTATTTTAATTTTACACGGTGAGAAGCTTTCTTGTTTTCACTTTCTTTTAACTTGGTGGCTTTCCTGAAAAAGATTTTTGTGAACATACTCATTTGATAACTTTAGTTTGCCACTTTTTGATTTTTTGAAGATATATATTTGATACGTTAAATTCAATTATATTATGCTCTTGAAATTGTCAGATATAGATAGGAGGAAGGGAAGTATGTGGAAAAAATATACTGTTTCTCTTTATCCTTTGCTAGTGAAAAGAAAACTAATGTGTTGGACATTAGAAAATGTTGTTTGAAACTCTCCCATTTTATACTATTACATAATGTTGGTTATTTATAACAATGGAATTCTATACCAAATAAGAGATTGCTCCAACGATCTTAGTGTTGGTCTTAGTGTTGGTTTAGGTTGATATGGAGCTTTTTTTTCTTTTTTTTTTGTTGCCATCTTGTTTATGAAAGAAACTGGACGAGGTTCGACTTGGTCAAGTTCCGCCATGTGGGAGAGTTGATTAGCCTCAACAAGGAATGACTTGCACAAGAGGGCAGTCTCCGACGCTTAAGTCAGTAAGTAGCTCGGACTCAATATATAGTTCAAGATAGAATTTGATACCTGTGACTGGAAATGATGTCCTCTATTTATAGGTTGTGGATCTGACAGACGATTATTCATGTCGGACGTCTGGTTGAACATGTCCCAAATATTGGGTCGAATCTG